ATATTCTCCTTCACTCCCCCTGGCAGCTACATAAAAGATTGTGTAGGGGTGAAGGGAGGGGCAGAGGAGCTGGACCAACACAGAGAGTAACTAAACACTCCCAGAAGAGCAGAGGGCAATGACATGCATGGAGAAGGAGGCTGGGCTCGCAAATTGACTCTCTGGGACTAGTCAAATTTTCCAGTGAGTTCAAAGCCACATTGCAAGTAAATAAAAAGCTATTTAAGGAAAGGACAACACTGCAAATGTGCATTTATACTACTTTCTGTATATTTTCTATCTAATACTTTTCTGTATTTTTCTGATTTTTTGGTACTTATACCTGGAATTTTTTAAGTTGATGACAGGGTCCCTTTAAAAGGGGAAGGGGACTTGAGATACATTAGGACCTTTCTCTGTCGTGCAATGACAATGTGATAGAGTAACTAAGACTTTCCAGCCCTAGGTATCTTCTATAACAGCTGGACCTCTATAATGTCATGTGTACCATATGTAGAAAGTGTCAATGCAAATACTTACCCTGCATTATTATTATACAGGATTTATATAGCGCCAATAGTTTGCACAGCGCTTTACAATATATACGTAGATAACATAAGAAGGCCTGTGACCTAGAAGCTTGGCATTATACAAGATATGTTTAGCGTGATTTGCTTACAACACAAAAGCCTGCACACATACAGTATTTCTACATGCATGTATAGTAATATATAGCTTTTCCTGGAAGCCCACTTACTTATAGTCCATATATCATTTATTGGGGGAATGGCTTCACACACCAGTATTATTTCTCTAGCTTGGCAGCAAAGAAAGACATCACCAAGAAAACATTTAGTTTTTGGATTTATCCAATACTATTTGTTGCAATTAATTCTATTGATGATACATCTGCTTGTAGCAGTCAGATGAATTAAGATATTTTATCAATAGCAGGACCAATGACTATCACAATGGAGGTGAGTAGTATAAAAAAAGTAAAAAGGAAATCGGTTGTGGTTAACCCAGAAAAAAAGACTTCCCTCTTACTACATAATTCTCTGGACAGTTTCAGAAGCATATATGATAAATGTATTTATAGATGCACTTTATTGCCAAAAGTATTGGGACACCTCTCCAAACCATTGGATTCAGGTGTTCTGTGAAATTTCCTTGCTACTAAATATTCCGTGGCCAACTGTTAGTGGTGTTATAACACAGTGGAAGCGACTGGGAACTATAGCAACTCAGCCACAAAGTGGTAGGCCACGTAAAATGAGCGGGATCAGCGCATGCTAAAGCGCACACAGTGCGCAGAAGTCGCCAAACTGTATGCAGAGTTAATAGCTACAGACCTCCAAACTTCGTGTGGCCTTCAGATTGGCACAGCAACAGTGCATAGAGAGCTTCATGGAATGGGTTTCCATAGCCGAGCAGCTGCATCCAAGCCTTACATCACCAAGTGCAATGCAAAGCATCAGATGCAGTAGTGTAAAGCACGCCGCCACTGGACTCTAGAGAAGTGGAGACGTGTTCTCTGGAGTGATGAATCACGTTTCTGTGTCTGGCAATCCGATGGACGTGTCTGGGTTTGGCGGTTGCCAGGAGAACGGTACTTGCCTGACTGCGTTGTGCCAAGTGTAAAGTTTGGTGGAGGGGGGATTATGGTGTGGGGTTGTTTTTCAGGGGTTCGGCTTGGACCCTTAGTTCCAGTGAAGGGAACTCTTAAGGCATCAGCATACCAAGACATTTTGGACAATTTCCTGCTCCCAACTTTGTGGGAACAGTTTGGGGATGGCCCCTTCTTGTTCTAACATGACTGCGCACCAGTGCACAAAGCAAGGTCCATAAAGACATGGATGAGCGAGTTTGGGGTGGAGGAACTTGACCGGCTTGCACAGAGTCCTGACTTCAACCTGATGGAACACCTTTGGGATGAATTAGAGCGGAGACTGCGAGCCAGGCCTTCTCGTTCAACATCAGTACCTGACCTCAAAAAATGGTCAAACATTCCCATAGACACACTCCTAAACCTTGTGGACGACTTCCCAGAAGAGTTGAAGCTGTTAAAGCTGCAAAGGGTGGGCCAACTCAATATTGAACCCTACGGACTAAGACTGGGATGCCATTAAACGTCATGTGCGTGTAAAGGCAGACGTCCTAATACTTTTGGCAGTATAGTGTAAAGCCACTGGGCCTGTCATCCTGCTCCGATATTTACTAGACATTCGCTGACCTGGATCAACAATGCAATTAATGAAGTCTGAACCCCCTTTTCTGCATTATTGTTCTGAGCCGTGGTTTACTAGGCAATACAGACAGATCCAGGATGGCAGCCTCAAAGCCCTGACCTCTAAAAACAAGCCAGCAATAGAAGCTCCTATATTTCTGTACTTAAGGGGTTCATTTAGAGTAAATAGCAATGATTATGTGTATTAACGCATTGCAACCAAGTTAGTGTACTGTAGTTCAATCAGCGAAAAATGATGGGTTGCCAAGGGTTACTGATTTTTATTATATTACAGTGCAACGCCAAAAAATAAAAATGTAACCCTTACAGTGGGGCTGCCCCTACACTGCAAGTGTTATCTGCTCATTTCCATCAAGGGGCGCATATAAAAAAAACATATTAATCTGATCCTCAATCCTGCCTAGCTGTTAGACCGGTGCCGACAGCCACTTCTACCTGAGGCTCAGGGCATTCTAAGCCCCACTGACATCATCACGTGTAATGTAGGGCCATTCAGCTGCATTAGATGTGAGAACGCAGAGGGACATACTACAGCTGGAGAAGAGGGGGAGAGAGGTGAGCACTCACCATCGCAGGACTCAGGATCAGGTGAGTATATCTTCTGAATGCCGGCGACTAGACTAAAAGAAGCAGTTAACCCTTGCAATGCGGAGGTAGCCGTACTGTAAGGGTTAATGTTTAGTCCTCATTCACACTAGAAAAGGCCGGCATGTACAGCTCCGTGCTGCGTGCACGGCCATATCGGGCAGCTCCCGGGAAGGACAGGTGCTGTGTGTGATTAGTACGTAGCCCCTGTCCTTCTCTATGGGAGTACGTGACCATACGCCCCCTACGCTCACCTCAAGAGCAGGTCCGTACGGGTGCGGGTGTCCCGGCTCGGACGCAGACAGGATCCATCCTGTCAGCGTACGAGTACGCTCACCCGCACAGATCTGACCTTGAGGTGAGCGTCCTTCCAATAGAGAAGGACAGGGGCTGCGTACTAATCACACACAGCACCTGTCCTTCCCGATACGGCCGTGCACGCAGCACGGAGCTGTACGTGCCGGCCTTTTCTAGTGTGAATGAGGGCTTAAAATAAATAGAGCTTCTCTTTGAACCTGAACTTTGATCATAAAAACGTTCATTTAAGTATATTTTTTCAATAGTTACAAATGATATAAATCCACGTTTTGTGCACCAAATGCCTCTGCAAACACAGTTATCACTTAGTAAAATACCACTGTGTGCACATAGCCTGAGCAAAGAGCAGAGCTGTTCGAAGGGCCCAGAAGGCTCCAATGACTACAGGCTGCCTGCAGAAAACTACAGGAGGGGTAAAGACCAGACCACTCACCCTGCACAAGGAGAGAGAGCAGATGTGACTGGTCTTCAGATAGGGTCTTCCCCAGCAGGCTGTATTATTTCTTATTTTCTCTCATACACTGAGCTTACCTAATGTAAAAATGAATCCTATAACTGGTGATATTCAGTGATTCCCTCGATTATTATTATTTGAGATACCATTGGCTAAATCGGGCAAGACATGCAAAGAGTGATACCACATGTAAGTAATCATGTCACTTTAAAGCAGAACTCTTGGGGAAATTATTATTAACCCTTGCAGTGGGACTACCCCCATAATGTTTTAGATTGTAAGCCTTCAGGTGCAGGGCCCTCCTTACCATCTTGTCTTGTGATTGTAATGTCTTCCCTATATTGTAAAGCGCTGCGCAAACTGTTGGCGCTATATAAATCCTGTATAATAATAATAATGCAGGGGTTATTGTTTTGGTCTAGGGAGCAAAATAACCGAGATATACTCACTTGAAGCTCCACGGTGGCAAGCTGTCACAGCGCTTCCTTTAGCCTGTCTCCTCCAATTCTGCAGTGATGGAATGTCCATCGACGTACTCACATCCTTTACACTCTGTATAGAACATGATGATTTACTGGACCTTAGACCACTGCAGAGGAGGGGGAGAGAGTCTCCAGGGACTGGTCTAATAGCAACAGGACTGGATTTACCATTAGGCATAGTAGGCATGTGTCTACAGGGGCCCTACATAGAGGGGTGCCGTGCAGGTACCTGTTCTGCCTCATTCCTGGTGTTGTGTCAAGATACAACACCGCCAATAGCAAGGATTCTGCACAACTGTTCCAAGACCAGTTGCGCCTACAGGAACCACTGGCTTCCACAAACGCTGGGGAAGGACCCTGGCACTGCGTAAGGCTGCTCTATAAAATGCCTGTCTGATGCAGACAGGCATTTAAGGGCAGCCTTACCTGACGCCACTGGGATCCTTCTCTGCATACGTGAAAGCCGGCAGGTCCCGCAGCAGGTAGGGGCGCCAGCTCAGGCTAAACAGATTTCCAGTTATGCCTACAGGCAGTGGGGAAGCTAGACATTCTGTCACCCGGGGCAAAATCTCAGAGCTGCCACCCCCAAAGGGAGAAGTTCTCCATCCACACACCCAGCTTCGGCACTGCCTACAGGCGCCCAAAATGGAAATCCAGCCCTGAATAGCAAGCCGGCTACGGGGATCAGGTTAGTATAACTGTGTTATTTTCCTCCCTAGACCAAATTGAGCACTTAAACCTTGCAGGGCAGTGGTAGCCCCACTGCAGGGGTTAATAATAATTTTGCCCAGGGTTCTTCTTTAAATCAGAGCATTACGCAGGAAGTCGCTTGTCCTAAATACAGCACTGTGCTTGTCGGTATAAGCTGAATACACATGAGTAGTGTACTATATACAAGACTTCTGTCACTGCTTTGATGACTGGAGATAGTTACCTCTGAGCGAAAGTGATGAGATCTCAGGATGGCATCTGGAAGGGAAAAAAAAACCACAATCAGTGCCAATCCTTCACTTTTCATAAGGATTATCTGTCAATCCTCTTAGAAAACACGCACTACATTGGCAAGGGCATAGCTGAGGCTGAAGGAGGAAAGGAGTGAATACTAAGGTGGGGGAGCTGCTGTCACTGACCCCCTCCTGATCACTCACACACACTGTCCCAACATCTCATCTCCCTCCACTTTCCTGAAGGATGGGTGGAGACAAGTCTGCCGCAGTCCTGTTAGGATTCTCCTAAAATTGGATGCCAGATGAATCAGACTGCCACATGTACACCATACCCTCCTCCACCTCCTCTTTCCCAGCAGCCATGGAAGAGGACAAGACTTGAAATAAATGAATGTTTTCATCCCATCACCCCCTCCTCCTCCATGGAAGCTATGGTAACTCAGCAGACATGCCTGTCCTCCTCTGATCGCCCTGTGAATGGGCACTCCATGACTGAGTGACAGGTCACACATCACATGACAGACACAGAATCATTTAAAAATGGTTTCTTACATGTCCTACCTCTGCTCCTCGGTCTGTAGCTGAACACTGTCTTCATGGGGTGCCTGCTCTTCTGAAGCTTGCGATGCCAGCAGCAGAGGAAGGAGATCGTGGCAATGGTCCCCAGCATAAGGAAGAGTAAGAGAAGGGCACATTGGATGCTGTATGGTCTCAGCAAGACCAGGAAGGCAGCGGCGATCATCGTGATGTGATGATCGGTCGGTCCAGAATAGCGCACAGCAGCAGATGCGGTGTACACGTCTGGTGGGGGGGTTGGATCTTCTGAAGCGGTGATCACAGGGTGATCAGTGACTCAGCACCTTCATTTCTGTCCCCCCAGCACACTGATTTACAAGGGGGAGAGATGTAGCTGCTCTGATCCGCTCAGCAGTGCTTGAGTCGCTAGCGGCAGCTCATCCTAGGCACCATGTAGAGGAGGCACCGTGTAGAGGAGGCACTGCGCACAGGCTGCCGGGACTGTCTGTGAAAATAAAAGTTTCTCTGACTGTGTCTCCCTGGCTCTCTAGTAACCTCATCAGCATCAGCATCTGCTGCCCGGTATGGGAGGGAGAGAGATGCTTCGCTCCTCCTTGGATGGATGTCGGTTGACGTCACACAAACCCAGCTAGTGCTGCAGAGACTGGAATGATCATGGCCGCAGCATCCTCTGCACCCACCTGGCCTGTCATGGGACCACTGCTCCATCTGATTGTACAATCTCTGTACCATCTCCTTTAGGTTAAAACAGAACTCTGGGGAACGGTTGTATTAACCCTTGCAGTGGGGCTACCCCAGCAATGCAAGGGTTAAGTGCAAGTGTTTTGCCTTGAGTCAAAAATAAAGTTATACTCACCAGATCCTTGGAGCCAGCCGGTTGTGACATTGCTCCCTCCAGCCTGTCTCTTCCTCTGCTGCAGTGATGGGATGTGCCCTTGGCGTCCTCACATCCTATACACAGTGTATAGAACATGATAACTTAAGGACCTTAGACCACTGCACTGGAGGGAGAGAAGGCAAAAGGGTCTAAAGGTGGCCATGCATTGTTAGATTTCCGTTCGGAAACCGTACGCAAACGATCTTCCGAATGAAGGTCGAACAGTTGATGGTACAGCACCGATCTTTTTTTTTGCTAATGTGAATGAGATTTTTCATACTGTCAGGTTGGAAATTTTTTCTCTGACCACACAAAATCCAATGAATGTATGGGGGGGAGGGGTTTGTTTATCCAAAATCTCCAAAGAACTGACTTTGAGGATCAGGTGAGTATAACTTTTTTTATGTTTGAGCCTAGACAAAAACGTAAACAAGGGTTTACGAAAAAAGGTACCTGGAGTTCTGCTTTAAAGACGAAGTCCAGGAATTTAAAAAACTTAGGGTGCCCATACACTGTGCGAATACCGGCCACTTTTTGAGGAACCAGCCGAAATTCGTGCCGCTGTCAGCACCCTCTCAGCGGGCATCCCTTGATCAGCTGGCCGGAAAATCTTCATACGATCAGAGCCGGCAACCAATGAGCTGCTGGCCCTGTTTAGATATTCTGATAGAAGCTGGTGGCCGCTGTCAGAATACAAGGCAAACAGCGGGATTCCTTGATCAACATGCTCCTAAGTGTTTATGGAGGAATCTGCTCTATTTTTTTATTCAGCCTGCGGGTTGAATGAAAAAAAGTAGAGTAGAGCAGAGCAGCCTTACCCTTGCAGCGGGGCTACCCCTACACTGCAAGGATTAAGTGCTTGATTTACTTACCTGACCCTCGGTCAGCGCTCACCTCTCCCTCCACTCCAGCTGTGGTATGTCCCTCGGCATCCTCACGTCTAATGCAAGTCAGTGGACCTGTATTAGATGTGATGACATCAGCATCAAAGAAAAGAGGCTGCGAGGACCGGTCTAGTAGCTCAGCGGTACAAAGTTTTTATTTGTAACAAATATCCCGAGTAAAACTGGTCTCCAAAGTGCCACCTTTAGAAAAAATGTTACCGAAACAGTACTCCATTATTCACGGGATTGGGCCCTGATTCAAATCAGTAATAGATCCATTCACAACTTGGCATTCTGGTGCTCGAAATACCACCCGTGAGTCCATACATCCATACATGCATGTTAACGTGCATGCATTTTTGTATGTGATCATTTGCATTGAGTTAAAACAGCTTAGACAAATAATTGCACCACCAACGTAGTGAAATGTTTACAAAATTTGGACATGTACTGTTTTTTTGCAAAAACAGCAAACCACCTGACATGGCAGTGTGTTACCATACATTGTGGTGCTCTGCAGCACATGTGCGTTGGGGTGCTATTGAAAATGAATGACACCACAACATGCTGACACATTAACATGCTTGGCACAATAAATGTGCCCTAAAGGTATGTGAATTCAATCAAGTGAAAAAAGATGTGAACCATCAAAATAATACCATGACCTGTCCTTTTCTAGTAAATCACATATTGATTTCCCCTTACAGAAACAGAATTGCGCCATTAGCTCTCCTCACAGGATACTGTATAAAAGAACCCTAGTATAAACAAAACAGGACAAGCAGCACTTACCATGATTAGGGTTACATATTAACTGCTTCAGGACCGCAATGCATAAATAAACTGTGGCAACCTGAAGTAGTTATACCAAGATCATGGCTGTTGCAGCAGCAGCGGTGATCTTGGTTACATTTATTACAGACAGAGATGGCTGTTACATATAAGGCTATAGAGCCACCTGATCGTTGCTAGGGAGCGTGTCTTCCACAGCATGGTGGGTCTGTCCACCACGCATACTTCCAGTGGCTGATCTCCGCTCCGATCACTGAAAGCAGAAGTGATGTGTATTGCATCCTTGTCGGTATTAGTCTGTCACTTCTCCAGCTGCTGTGGCTGAAGAAAAAGCTGATGAAGCACAATCTCTGCTTCATCAGCTTCTTTGGGGTCTTTAAGTGCCATTAAGCATCTAATAGACCTTCAGATGTCTCCATAAAGAGGACCTGTCACATAATTTTTGCTATCACATAGGGGGCTTGCTAGAGCCCCCTACGTGATAGCAATCAAGTTAAGTGTTTAAAAAAAAACCCTTCAAAAAATTCACATAAGAAAAAAAACGTTTTTTAAATCCCTCACGCCCACATAGGAAGCCGGGCAGCATGTAATGACTTGCTGCCCGGCTTCCTAATACCAGAATTTTGGGTATCAGGCTAAGCATAGGAGCATTTGGGCGAGTACGAGTTCTCGCCCAAATACGGGGTATCTACACCGATACCGATACTACTATCTGTATCAGTGCATCCCTAGTGAAAAAACTCATGTTCAAATGATAGCAGAGATATAAGATACTGAATTCATAATAAAATCTTGACTTTGTTTATAATAGCTTGGTCTTTGCTCCCTCCATACCTTCCCTATCAGTCCTGGGATGGATGTCCCAAGAGATTCCCTCCAAGATTCCACAGGATTTTCCCATAAGTTTCTGCTGATATTTACCATATTCATTACACAGGCAACTGATTCTTGCATCATAGAATGTTGTCAAGTTGAATGTCATTTGAATGTGGAAAGCACACTAGAGGTTATTTAAAAAATAAAAATGTTTCCTTTTTTAATCCAGGCCGGTATCCAAATAGGAAGGAAGCGGCAAGCATGCAGCCTCCCTACAATTTGGATACCAGCCCACATGTCCTTCAGCATTGGGGGTGCTTTGAGAGGAGTTATCCTCCAAACCTAAGTTCCCAGGAGGGGATGTCGGCAAAGGAAGGCTTATATATGTACCCTGCCTTGAACCCCTAACAGTCCACTGGTGCATGCAGGTAAGTGAAATTATTCAACAAAAATAAGTAAATAAATGCTTTGTTATTCTTTTTTAGCTAATATTTATATTTTATATTGGCAGGTGCCAGCATTCCAAAGTTCAAAAGTGATGTTAAAGTCAAAAGGTTGTCAAGCTTTTTCAAATGCTGTCGAAATCACTTACATTGGATGCTGCTCCTTGATGTTTAAAAGTTTTAGTTTCCTGCAGGTTGAGCTGGTCTCCTGAGCACTGGCTCTGATATCCTTTTTTAGGGTGGCTTCTTTCTCTTGCAGGGTAGTATGGAGCCACCCTTGTTTGTGCTAATAAGCTGTGTGTGGCTCCACAAACACACAAGTGAAGCAAATTGTGCAATACCTGTGCTTGGAAATTTTTGTGTAATAGTGTGAGACTGTGGGGGGACATTAGAGTGTAGGCTACTCTGGTCCAGAGACCGCCGGCGGGGGGGATAGGGGATGAAGATATAATCTTGGAGGGGGCAAGATAAAATCTTGCAATAGGGCCCTTTATTCTATAGGTCCGCCACTGTTCTGCACTGTGTGTAATTGTGTATGTAGCCAAATTGGTAGAGGCAGGGCTTTGTTTCCTCATGTCAGAGCTTTCCCCCATTTCAGCCCCTGATGATTACTGGTGATCTGATTACTGGTGGGGGATGTAGTTAAGAATCAGCAGAAGAGGTGCAGGGAGCAAAGACTGGATGAAGCAACAGTAAGCAGCATAGTAGTGACATTACCATATCTCACTTCAAATTTTCTGATACTAGCAGTCAGAAGCAGTGCTGCCTATTACACATAAGTAATGAGGCTATAGGCACAGGGGTGCCTAGGCACACCCATGTGCCACTGCTATTTTCCAGGAGAAATCAATGCAAAAGATAGATTTTTCAGAGTACTGTTTAGGCACAGTTAATAATTCTAAATATTTCCTATAGGATAGCAGATTCACCCCCCATGCTGCTTTAAGGCCTTACCTTTATTGAAGCCTCCCCAGCGCTGGTCTCTGATCCAGCGCAGACTCCTTGGGTCCCACGGTGTCTGTCCGATGCACACGCTCACGGCTGTGTGCATTCACCTCCGCTGTGTCTCTCCTCTTCTCCCTGCCAATGATCTCTACTGCGCATGCACCTGCTCTCATCCTTCTGTACGGCAGCTCGGGAAGCTGTCGATCTACAGAGGGGAGCGAGCGGTGGAGACACGTTAATTTTTACCTTTTTGGTAACTTTCTTATTTTTTAAAATACTTTTGCATACAGTATATGTATTGCTTGCTAGCAGCTGATATATGCAAAAAAGGAGAGTATAATTCTACTTTAAGGACCCATTCAGGAACTAAAACCACCCATGTATGTGAGTTCCTATGCACACTGCATTCCTCTATGCTTGTATTAGAGACCGTGTGCATGGGCCCCAAGTGCACC